TAAGGCATTAAGCTCTGTTGTGCTCATTTTTTCCTTATCTGTAAAACGGGGATAAAAATAGCATCTAATTCCCAACATTGTTGAAAGGATAAAATGAGACAACAGTCACAAAATGTTATTGTTGTTGTTGCTGTTTTAAATCTACAATGCTGCCAAGTACTGGACTGCATGTTGCTCATGTAGACTGTTCTTTAGGGCGTGGACACAAGCACTGATCTTGCATGTTTTTCTGAAAATATGAATATCTGCCTTATGGAGGGGAAATAGGAAATTTGTTTTCCAATTTAATATGGGTTGAATCCAATGAATTAATTTTTAGGAGTGTTATTTTATTTAAAGAGTTAATTTTATTTAATTAATAATTAATTCAACCTTTATTTTATTTATTTATGCCAACTAAGTGTTAGACATGATAGACACTGGAAAAGCTTTTTGCATCATTAAACTTATTGTCTCTACTGTAAAATTACCATTTTGCAATATCATTTACCTCTTACTAGAAATTGAGGCAAAGACATTCAATCTCTTAATCAGAAATTCCTCATGGTTAAGTTAGCTGGTCACCAAACTTTATTTCACGTTTTTAAGCTCTTAGAATTTGAATTAGTGATGGAAGCACCTTAGCAGTATGTTTCTTTTATTTGATTTGGTATCTTTCAAGATAACATTACTTGTAAATGCCAAAAAAGAAAAAAATTCTGCAAGAGAAGGAAAGAATTGTGTGACTTCTCAGTTTGACACAATGCCATTTCCAGCTTTGTTTACAATTAAAGAGTGGCCTGAGCTTGAAAACAAATGGTTTCGATAAGAGTAAGGTGCCATATGGTACCAACTCAGATTATCACGAAAGAAAGTAGGAGCTGATCCCTAGCGTAGCAGGGAAACAGTAAAACTAAAGTGAAAATAGGAATGAATCTCTTGCTATTCCTCTCTTTCTCTGCTGTTCTTTTACTTCCTTTTTGTTTATTTAGGGTCCTCCTATGTTATAGTAAATTATGATCAGTCTATGACCTCATCTTGGAATTTAATAGGTGAAAGACATTAGACTGGATCAACATTTAGGAAATTGTACATCACTTTGTGATCTCAAAATTCTCACTACTACTATATTTTTTACACCAATATTGTTCTATTTTTAAATTAAATCATTCTATATCATTGAACATTATGATCTCATAAGAATATTTACACTGATGAAATTATAGATTTCATTAATCTATATTAATTATATAGATTATTATCTATATTGATAGATTAATATTAATTAATTATCATTAAATAGCAATTTTATGAGTTTGTAAAAAGGAAGGTGTTGGGTGGGCTTTTGCTGGTGTTTGGGAAATTTGGATAATGATTGGTTCGGCAGGTTCTTGGTCCCTTACCAGTGGATCATTTTACTGATTACTGGAGTTTCACACCTGGAAATGAAGATACTTATTAGCTCACACAGTGAAGCATTTGTTTCTGCATCACTGATTTGGAAAGCGAAAACATCGGATGTTTGGCTGTTTTGTTTCCGTGATCAGCGATGCATTGATGGGAAGAAAAGAGCAGGATTCTCACGTAAGAAAGGCCATTCAGCAATAGGGAGCTCAAAGTACCTAGAACATTTTAAGTTAGTCTACTATATAAAACGATGAGAAGTTGGGAAATAAGATAAATATCTCCACACTTGAAAAAAAGTACTTTTCCTACTCATGTTTTGTAGAACACTTAAATAGAATATAGTTGGGTTATTATCTCATTTGGAAAAAGTTTTTCTATTTTGTGTTCTTGTCCAAAAGAAACATGTATGAAAACAAAAGTTTGTTTGTTTGTTTTTTTCATGAACTTCTAGAAACCCTATATTGAACGAATGGATTCTAAAGCAAGAGCTAAACCAGGGGTGGGGAACCTGTGGCCTCGAGACCACATGTGGCCCTCTAGGTCCTCAAGTGTGGCCCTTTGACTGAATCCAAGCTCCACAGAACAAATCCTTTTATTAAGGGGATTTTTTTCTGTGGAGTTTGGCTTCAGTCAAAGTGTTTAGCTGCTAAACCTTTAAAATGTAACTTCTGTCATATGTCATTTTTTGTTTTGTTTGGATCTGTGATTGCATCAGTGTGCAGAATTTCCTAGGAGGAAACTTCCAATACCGATACCCCTATTCTTCAAGTTCCAGTCTTAGAGACTGTGTTTTCCAGGACCACAGAGCAGTGACTTGCCAGACAGGACGGGAGTGAGACTGGATTTAAATCGAGGTTGCCCAGATTCCACTATCCAAAGCCATTGTCTAGGACTCTCTATCCTTAATAGTGGAGATGAAAGCCCTGTCCTGCTTGAGGGAAGGAGCAGAGTTGGCAGAGAGAAAAAGCTTTAATTCTCATCCAGTCTTTGAGTTTTAAGCAAGCGCTTCTGCTTCCAGCTTCAAGGTGGAGAATGGAAGAAGCCAACCCCACTTCAGGTAGCTGAAGGAAAGCACTCTGGGAAGACATGAGAAAGGCTGGTGGTCTATATAATTGTCCTTATCTCCAGATTGCTAGTCTAAAGACATGGGGGAGTTTCCCCTTAGGTGAGAGCTAGAACTCTCTCTCCTACTTCAACTGAGTAATGTTGCTCCCAATGGGAGAACTTCTTCTCTCTCTACATTTGGTCCTATGTAGGCCTTATTTGATTTAATGAATTGATTTGTTTGCTATTCACTATGTGTGTTCACAGCAATTAGGTGAATAGAACTCTGGGCCTGGACTCAGGAGGACCTAAGTTCAAATCTGGCTTCAGACACTTTCTAGCTGTGTGACCCTGGGTAAGTCATTTTACTCTGCCTCGGTTTCCTATCTGTAAAATGAGCTAGAGAAGGAAATGGCAAACCACTCTAGCATCTTTGCCAAGAAAACTCCCAATAAGGTCATGAAAGGATTGGACAATTGAAATGACTTAACAACAACAAAATGTGTGTTCATTGTAGAACTGGTATTTGGTGGGAAAAGGTTCAAGTTTAGATATAAAGCTTGGGATCATCCTTCTCCCCAATAATGACGCAGTAATTAGAGTTAGATTGAACCAGATCATATCCCCAGACTTATATTATCTAAGGGAACAGATAGATATAATTCTAGCCCAGTACCTCTCTTATCTCTGAGGAAAAATATGTCTGAGGGAAACAAAGTGCTGGGCTCTGGCTCCAATCTCCTGCTTCCCATCCTGGCAGGAATTAAAGTCTTTCTTGGAGAAAAGATGGTGAGGGAAGAGGAGAAGAGGCTAGAGATATCTATTCTGCTACCCTTTGAACCACACATGATGCTACCTGCACGCTGCATGCTACATGAAATGATAGGCCTCACAGCATATGGGGCCTCACTCTACATATGAGACTCACTACACTTTATTTAAAGGAAACAAAAGGGTCATTCTCTTCCACTCATCAATGGAAACAATAGCAAAATGATAATCAAATAACCCAATTAAAACACCACCATGCAAAATTTCTAGTAGTAGACTTTCAAATCTCTGTACTAAATATTAGAACAAAAGTTTTCTTGATATAATTATATGAAGGTTGGTTTTTTCTTTTCTTTCTGTGAGATGCAGTACAATTTAATGGACAGATTGTTTGCCCTAAAGTTAGGAAGACCTGACCTCGAACCTTTCCTAAAACATTTGGTAGCTATGTGAGCACTGACAAATCACTTTTTCTGAACTTCAGTTTCTTTATTTATAAAATGGGAATATAATAATCCCTACCACATGGTGTTGTGAGACTCAAACAAGGTACTGTATGGAAAATACTTTGAACATTTTAAAAGAATATATTAATGTGAACTATTACTACTACCACTGTTGTTATTGTTTCAATTATGTCAGTGGCAGTCTTATTTAAGGCAAAACAATTTTTATACAGTCAAAAAACAAACACAGTCTATTAAGTTCTCAGAACATTTAAACCAACAGTCTTATTTAGTAAAATTCCCTCCTACTTCCTCAATCTCCCAACAAGACTTCTTCAGGAAGTAGTTGGTTTTTTACCACTAGTAGCTGGGTGTCAACTTCTTGGGCACGTTGTAGAGGGATATGGATTGACCTGAGTAAGGTTCTCAATGTGAAGTCTGGGATCACCAGTGGTTCCTAAGACCCATCCTGGGGGATCTAAAAAGTCAAAATCATTTTCATAATCATATGAAGATATTCTAATTTCTAATACAGCAAATGTTGATAGATATAACCCATTTAAATAAAAGCTCTTGAGGGAGGAGGTGTTTCCTCAATAATCTTTACAAGTGTAAAGGAGTCCTGAGTCCAAAATGTTTGACAACCAGTAGACTAGATGAATACTCACATCCTCATTGATTCTGGGGTTTCATGATTCTTCAATGTTTTTAATCACCCAAGTTAGACTATAGCTTGTAATCTTTCCAATCCTGCCTTCCATAATCACATAGGGATGTAGATTCAGGGCTGGGAGGGACCTTAAAGTTCATACTTTCACTTTATAGATAAGGAAGCTGAATCCCAGAAAGATAAACTTGCCCAGTGTCACAGAGGCAAAATTGGACTTTGAGCCCAAAACAAGTACTTTCCCCACTAAAAGCTCCCCATTTTAGAAATCTTCAGCAGATATATTGAGAGATGTCATTCCAAATAGGTATCAGAGTTTGGATTCTGGTGGTTTTTTGGGTGGTACTTAAGACTAACATATTATAAAAATATTTGAATTTTCATTTATGTCTCAATGGATCCTTATTTAGCCTTTATAACATCACCTATTTCCTTAATAAGACTTTTTTTGCAACATAAATATTGAAACATCAGAACTCAAGGGTTATTGGCAATAGCTTTTCTCCTGTATGGCTGCCAAATTAACTAGTAAATTCATGTTTGCAGGGGAGACAAGCTTTCTTCAGCAGAATGAATTTTTTCCCCTCCAATGAGTTTCTCGGTTTTGATTTTGATTTTTGTTCATTTCTTTGCTGTAGCAAGGAGATGACATAGTAAAACTACAAGATGAAACTCATCCAACTTACCAAACGATTCCCTGAGCCCCAGAACCAATAGGCTTTAGATTCTGGCAGCGTTTGAGGACTGTGAACGTTGAATCTCCCACTTCAACACTGTAGAACTGGTTGTCTACTTTGCTTTTGCTCATGTTGTAATGTTTGGCAATATATGACACATCCACTTGTTTATCAAATCCCTGTCAGGAAGAATGGAAAAAAAAAGTGAGAAGACTAACCCAGTAGCATGGTAATGAAATGTAGGGAAGTCTGCTGTTTATACAAATCCTAATAGCTGCTAGTCTCCTATATTTATATATTATCGGTGTTCACATCTTTACTAAAAACAGGCAGATCAGCCAGAAATGTAAAGATGACATAAAATATTATTGTTATTGACCCAAAATAACTTTCTAAGGGAAGTTTCTTTCACATGGAAAGTACTGATAATGGGTTGAGCTCAATTATTCAGAGGATGTCCAGTTCTGTGGGTAGAAAAACCTGGGGCCTGGAAGTCAAAACCTAGGTTCTGGGCCTGACTCTGCCACAGGGTGAAAAATCAGTCTTTCTAGGCTTAGCTTCCTCATTTAGAAAGGTTAGATTAGATGACAGCTGATATTTTAGTGATTCAAAATTAATGAAGCAGGTCCCATGACCAGGAAAATGTATGTATAGATGTTTTCCATGAATCTATATCACCTGGGATAAGGAATTGTATGTAATAGCTAAGGCTGACACATGAGGTAAAAACCCCATGAAATAACATCAGAGAAATATACTCAGCATTCCTATTCAGAATTCCCACACCTAGCTCTAGAAGAGAAAATGACAGATGTGGAACATACACACACAAAAACACAAGTCAAAGAAAATTTGGCAAGAGAGATGTGAAAAGCAAAAACTTTTTTTGCAAGTAGCATTTTATTTTTTCCAAATAATATAATTTCAACATTCATTTTTTATAAGATTTTGAGTTTCAAATTTGTTCTCCCTCCCTTCCTCCCATCCTGCCTCCCCAAGATGTCAAGCAATCTGATATAGGTTCTATATGTGTAATCATGGTAAACATTTTCACATTAGTGATGTTGTGAAAGAAAAATCAAAACAAAATGGGAAAAGCCACAAAAGAAAAAAAAGTGAAAATAGTATGCTTCGATCTGCATTCAGACTCCATAGTTCTTTCTCTGGATGTGGATGGCATTTTTCTTTTTTTTTTTTCTTTTTTCTTTTTAGTGAAGCAATAAGGGTTAAGTGACTTGCCCAGGGTCACACAGCTAGTAAGTGTCAAGTGTCTGAGGCCGAATTTGAACTCAGGTCCTCCTGACTCTAAGGCCAGAGTTCTATCTACTGCACCACCTAGCTGCCCCATGGGTAGCATTTTCCATCATGAGTCTTTTGGAATTGTCTTAGATCATTGTATTGCTGAGAAGAGCTAAGTCTATCAAAGTTGATCATAGCACAATGTTGCTGTTACTATACATTATGTTACAGATCAAAACAATTCTGAATTATCACTCCATATCTATCAAATTGACAAAGATGATGAAAGGCAAAAATAGTCAACATTAGAAAGGGATGAAGAAGATAAGCAAACTAAGAAATCCTTGGTGGGGCTATGTATTAGTCCAACTGTTTTGTAACCAATTTGGAATTATGAAAGAAAAGTTATTAGCATCATTTTTGTAGTAGATAAAAACTATAACTAAATTATGTGCTCAAAACTTCCAAGTCATTTAATCAGCAAAATGGAAGACTTGACATTTTCTCTAATCTTCACAACTTCTCAGACCTCCCCCAAATAGTCATTATGTCCAAGAGATGAAACAGTTTCAGCTACCTCCATAGTCAGACACGAAATCAATGAGATGATAATCCAATGAACTAACAGAGAAGAAAACTGGTGATCTCTTAACCCTAACACACTCTCTAAGTACCTCATCTTCCACCACTCACAAGCTCCTGCAGGGTTGTACAAGCTGACCCATGGTTTTACAAAGGAAACTCTACATTCACAATACATACACCAGTGCCACGGAATACCAAAAGGCCGAAGTTTGTACTGAATGGAACAACAGTGCCATAGCACTGAGCCTTAGCAATAAAATTCATCCAGAGAACTGGGGAATGGAGGACACTAGAAAAAGGACACATCTATGTAATTTCATGGCACTCCACTAAGCCAGAGAGAAAGAGCTCAGCATCTAACTGAAGCTAGTTCTGTACTTCCAGAAGTGACTTGAGACAGAAACAGAACTACCCAGCAAGGGAAGAAGCTGAAATAGCTTTGAGGTCCAGCCTCCAGGGAAACTGGTATCAAAGGAGGAGTGCATAATAGGGAAAAATAAATTTAAAAACTAAAATTACCAAAGATCTCAGAAGTAAGAAAACTCAGTTAGAGACGTCAAACCTAGCAGATAAAATAGCATGGAAGATATTCATAGTGAAAGTAAATAGGGCCTCCAGACGAGCTGAAAGAGTCCAAACATCTATGAATAAATACCGCAAGACAAAGGAAAATGAATTAATGACTGATGAGGCAGAGGAACCTGTAGATTCCCGAGAGAACACAGAATAATAGCAAGATGCTCCTGGATGATTTAAAAGAGAACTAAGAATTGTGAAAGCAGAATTTATGGCTTGCACAGCAGAGATAAGTGGCAGAACAGAAAAACTTCTGAGTCATGCCACCAAGTATCCAGGAATCAATCTACCAGAGCACACAAATTACTTGTGTAGATTCAATTACAGATGGCTCCCGCTCAGTGAAATGGAGAACAACTTAAAAAGCTGGAGGAATATTCAGGGCTCAGGGATGGGCCAATATAATAAAAATGACATTATTATCATAGTTAATTTTACATTTTAGTGCTACACAATCAAACATTCAAGAGGATATTTCATAGAACTTGATAAAATAGTAACAAAATTCAATTGGGAAAAATAAAAGATGGAGAATATCAAGGGAAATGACACAAACAGGAAAGGATGAAGAGGCAATAGCACTTCTAGACCTCAAACTAGCAATCATTAAAACCACAACTTACCAATTTAAAAATAGAGAGGTAGCTCAATGGAGCAGAATAGATAAGGAAGAGTCAGAAATAATAGAACTCAACCCAATATTCAATAAACTACATACACACACATATGCATATATGTGTGTATATACACATGCATACATACATGCATACACGTATACACACACATATATAGTCGGAGGCACATGTAGGGAAAGAACTCCCTATTTGATAAAAACAGAAAACCTGGAAGGTAATCTGGCAGAAATTAGGCTTTGACCAATATTTTATACCACATTCCACAATAGGTTCCAAATGGATATGGCTTAATATCAAAGAAGAAGAGCAGATCATATAACTCTCACAGCTATGGGGTTGAGATATTCTTAGCCCAACAAGAAATAGAAGCAGTTACAGAAGATGAAGTAAATAACTTTGATTACATGAACCTTACAAAAAGGAAAAAGAAAAACACAAATAGTGAGCACATTATTTGAGGAACTTACTGGAGAATTTGAATATAATAGAATTTGATTTCATGGTAAGGAACAATGAATGAGGAGAACATGAATAGACACGATAATGATAATGTAATTGAAGACAACACTAGAGGACAAAAGAAATTAGATAAGGGAAGAAGGAAGAAAGGAGGGAAAAAAGGAAGCAGAAGAAAGAGAAAGACAGAAAAGGAAATGATTAACTGTTTACTATATACCAAGCACTGTCCTAAAACACAGGAATACATTTTATTTGTAGCTGACATTTGTGGAAAGGTGTAGGAGTCCTAAGAGTGCGTCAACAGTACAAATGGCAAGATCTCAGTGTCCTTGGGTTATATTAGTAGGTCAGATAACAGTAGATTTCTACAAGGTGTAGAGACAAGGCAGATGGTAAGGCCCAGTGGTCCTTAGAGTTAGTGACCCCCATCTCATCCGAGCAGTCAAGCAGTCCTGATGGGTTCTGGGCAGTTTGGGCTGAGCAAAGAGGGGAAGGAAGAAAACAAAGGGAGAGAGAGCTCCTGGGAGGCTGTTGGTTTTCCTGTCATTCTGCAGTTTCAGATAGATTCTGGAACAGCCCAGGTTGAAGGAGAGGTTCTAGATGACTGATGATAGAACATAACCTTCCTCTTTAAAGAAAGTGCTATGAGAGTGCTATGTCAATACCATACAGATGGTTTTGCTTAATGTTATTTGTTGCTGTAGAGGAGGGTGGTCTGGGACTGGGAGGCATTATTGGGAAGAGACTATAGTGTAAAAGTGTAAAATGAATTAATCAAACTTTGTTTAAAAAGAGGCAAGTTTTGTATAACAAATGAATGAAGTACCTGTTTTTTATGTATAACTGACAATGATGCCATTGTAGCGAGTCCCCTTACCTCTTGATTAATTCCATTACCAGTTTCTGACACCAACAGCTTCAAAATTATACCTCATTCTGCATGTTTCCAAGGGTCTGACTTCACATAATCTGGGAAGAATGAGCTGAATTCCTTATGTCCCCACTTTTGTTTGTGAGTGATGGTTGTGAATTACACATCTAGTCAAACAGAGCAATGTGAAAAAACATTGAGATTGAACCCCTGATTTTCAGAAGATTAAAAAATTACTGACAGCAAACTACACTGCCCTTGGGAAATTGTTCAGTGAGTTTGATGACCCAAGCTTCTCTCTGAAACAAAGGTCTATCAACAACATTCTTCCAGTGGTGCTATTCTTCAGACTTTGAAGAATCAAATTTGTATATCTTCCGCAGAGCAACACAGAGGTGTAGTTTTGACACATTACTAACGATGTTAGGCATAAAGAATATAAGCAGAAAGAGATGCTACGAGAAAGCAAGGTGGACTAATCATTTAGCAAGATGGAGGAATAATGGATGAACAACCTGAATGTTCTACTAACACTCACAGAGTGTCAAGAGAACTAGATAACCCCTTGTATGTTGACTGGAGTGAGCTATGAAGTGGACTATGGAAGATGTATGGGTGGCCATGGATAAAAATGTTTTGATCTTTATTGTTGGAAAGAAGACCCATATTACTGAGATCGCAAATCCAGCAAAGCATCCAAATAAAATCACAAGAGTGCCTTCTGAATGCTTCAGTGGAATGATCACTGCACTGGGAGATGTGATCTATATTCTAGTTCCCCTCCAGGCTACATGTTGAAATCATACCTTGTAGG